GGACTGTCACTCTTGTTAATTGGTCACCTTGGTGGACGGAGGTCTTCGCCACTTACGAGGTTGTGACCTTCAAAAATTCTTCTCTGACCTGTCGGTAAACAGACTTTACCATATCCCAAAGGACGGACTCGTCCCCCAACGACTAGAAGACCTCCAAGGTCCCTTCCAGCTCTATTCTAAGGGACTGGATAGCCAGACAGTCTGACTAAGATGCCTGAGGTTGAATCGGGAAAATATAGAATTCATATTCCCACCAAGACCGGTGTGGTTTTGCCTACTCATGTGAATCCTGAAGGACAAATGAATTGGTCCCCAAAGGAAAAATTTCACTTCCTCTTTAGCTTGGCAAGAACACACACAGCCATCCTAAATTCGCCACAGGGTCGACATCATCCATGTCATATCTAAAAATTGCAACACACTGTAAGGAAGGACTGTGTGCGGAATTAAAGGCCTATATATTTTAGAACAGGGGTCTTCAAACTTGGCCCTTTTATGACTTGTGGACTTCAACTCCCAGAATTCCTCAGCCAGCGTGCCTGGCTGAGGAATTCAGGGAGTTGAAGTCCACAAGTCATAAAAGAGCCAAGTTTGAAGACCCCTGCTTTACGACAAGAAATAATAGATCCTTGGCGATTGCAGAGGTAAAATCTACTTAGACAGAACAACTGACAGCCTTAGGCCCTGATTGCAAACATATTCGCACAACATACCAAACCTGATTCCTCAGATTTGCCAAGCTCGAAAGTTGAAAAACACATATAATCAAGGCCCATAATACAGGGAGTCCTCGCCTTACGATCAAAACGGAGGCCAAAATTTCTGTTGCTAAGTGAAACATTTGTTAAGTGAGTTTTGCCCCACTTTACGACCTGTCTTGCCACAATTGTTAAGTGTTAAGTTAGTAACACAGTTATTAAGTGAATCCGGCTTCTCCATTGACTTTGCCTGTCAGAAGGTTGCAAAAGGGGATCACGTGACCCCAGGACGCTGCGACCGTCATAAACATGAGTCAGTTGCCAAATCTCAGTTGCCAAGCGTCTGAATTTTGGTTACGTGACCACCGGGATGCCACGACGGTCGTTAAGTGTGAAAAACGGTCATAAGTCACTTTTTTCCTGTGCCGTTGTCACTCTGAACGGTCACTAAGCGAGTTGTCGTAAGGCGAGGACTACCTGTCACATCGATTTACTTATTCAGCAAATGCAAATCAAGGCAAGGCTATAAGCCAACGTGAAAAACCGGCAACGCACGTCTTCCTCGGCTGAACGTTGTCATTTCCAAAACCACAAAATCAATGCTTCCTACAAAATTGCAACCCACAAAATACAAGGTGTGTGTTTGACCTGCTTCTCTAAGATTTGAATCCGGAAGCCTTTTCTTTCATCCATTTGAGGTTATTTTCAGTTCCAGGGCTGGTTGTTGTTGTTTTTTTCAAATTCCTTTGTATTATATCCCAAGGCTGGCTAAAATTAAAGTAGCCAGAGGATTAGAAAAAAAAAGTGATTATCTTTTTTGCACAAAACAAAATGCCAGCAGACACATCACACATTCCTTCTCAGAAAAAGCCGCCCCTACGCAGGAACAACACAATATTAAATGTGCTCAAAAATGTAACAGGGAACGGACAGCTCGAACTAACAAAAAAAAACAAAAAACAAAACAAAATGCAGGTAGTCCTCAACTTACGACCGCCATGGAGCCCCAAATTTCTGTAGCTAAGCGAGACACTTGTGAAGTGAATTTTGTCCCCGTTTTAGGACTTTTCGTGCCACGGTTCTTAAGGGAATCACCGCAGTTGTAAAACTAGTAACACGCGGTTGTTAAGTGAATCTGACTTGACTTCGCCTGTCAGAAGGTTGGAAAAGGGGATTTCACGGGGGACACTGCAACCATCATAAGTGTGAGTCAGTTGCCAAATCTCTGAATTGTGATCATGTGATGCTGCAGCGGCCATCAGCGTGAAAAATTGTCATAACTCGCTTTTTTTTCAGTGCCGTTGTCACTTGGAACGGTCACTAAATGAATGGTTGTAAAGCGAGGACTACTTATATACTGAACCATAAGCCACCAATCCTCTTTTAGCCTATTCCAGTCATAATTTTTTGTGGGACATTAACATGTAAGTTATTCCTTCCTGGAGACTCTAGTTCAGGGGTAGGCAACCTTGGCTCTTTTATGACTTGTGGACTTCAACTCCCAGAATTCCTCAGCCAGCATGGGGGAACTATGGCCCCTTCATGACTCGTGGACTTCAACTCCCAGAATTCCTCAGCCAGCATGGGGGAACTAT